TTGGTTTTATACAAAAGCAAAAACGTTGATGCGTTTAAACAAGACCGTTATTATTTAAAACTAAGAATATAATACCAAAAAATTTTTATAGTAAATGGAATTTCAATAATTAGGAAACAACCAACATTTGACATAATAAGTCTGTGGCAACTTTTTTTAAACATTTTATTTAATGGTAACGCAAAAAAGGGTTTTTAAAAATAATAAAATGATTTTAAAAAACTCATTTTATAAAACATAAATATCGTATTACAAGAAAATAATTTTAAAGAACTTTAAAATGACTGTTTAAATTAATATTAAACTGTTTAAATGAATATTATTTAAATAATATTTTGAATTTGAATTATGTGTGAGTTAACCTTAGCCCTTATATTCATTTTGTTAAATTTTAAATATTGTCAATAATTAGGAAAAAGCAAGTAAAAATATCTCAAAAACGTTCAAAGTAACCCCGGTTTACGGTAACATAATAAAAACTAAAATAAAAGACGAAAATGCAAGTTAAATTATTAGAGTCCTATATATAGATTAAACAAATGAAATGTAATCACCGTTGCAACTTGGCCCATCCGTTTAGAGCTTTGAAGAAAGCTGTTGCATTCCGAAGGTTCATCTGAAGATCTTTTACATGCCATTTTTGATATTGATATTTTTAAAACGATATAAATAGTAGAGTGATAGTGCGAAAAAAGCAATATCGATAAAATTGTGGGTTATGTATAGTAAATTTCAATACGATGAATTAAGTCGTTAGTAAAATATTGACAAAAATCATTAATTGTATAAGTGGTATTGCGAAATGCAGTATACTAAAGTATGTTAGTTAAAACTTCTAGACAGCAATTTTATGACACGCGTTAATGCGTTTTTAATCGAGAAAACAAAATTATTTAGATTTTTCAAACGAAAAATAGACTTCATTATAATATAGAAATAGCCTAACTGTATAATAAAAATTAAAGTTTATATAGTTTTTTTAAATTTTTATATATTAATATAATATATATATATATACATATATATATATATAATATATATATATATATATATATCTATATATATCTATATATATATATATATATATATATATATATATATATATATATATATATATATATATATATATATATATATATATATATATATATATATATATATATATATATATATATATATATATATATATATATATATATATATATATATAATATATATATATATATATATATATATAATTATATAAAATGTTGGCTTTGAGAGTACGGAAGGTAAAAAAATGATTCTTTTGGCAATTAATTACGTCATTATTTAATTTACTTTTAACATTCATCCAACATTTCCGTGTTGTCATAAAGTTAGAACCATTAACTTAATTATTTTTTTAAAAAACCGCAAAAACGCAAATTTAATTGACCAGAATGTTTTATAAAAACATTAAGAATGTTTTTTAAAAATATAAACAATGTTTTTATTTTTATTTTTTAAATAAAATGTTTTTATTTTTATATTTTTTTTTACTGTAAATCATGCGCGAGTGTTGCTACATTGACCACCCTATAGCCTGACTGACAAATAGCCTGACTCGCAAAGTAGTGCTGCTACATCGACTGAGGGTTTGGTTTGGGCAGGCAGTCAATCCCGTCATATATATATATATATATATATATATATATATATATATATATATATATATATATATATATATATATATATATATATATTATATATATATATATATATATATATATATATATATATATATATATATATATATATATATATATATATGGCGGGATTGTATTTAGTAAATTAAGAACACCATTAGTTTTTTTATTTTACTAAATACATCATTATTATTCATAGTTAAACTTAACTAAATAAAATATTATTATTTATAGTTAAAACTTGCTACGCTCATCTACCATCTTACCAACATTTTATGCTTTTTGTTTCAAAAACTTTCGACATTTCGTGCTAAAATATAGATATGTAGTTAAAGACTTATTGTTATCTTCTAGCTAGCTAAATCACAACTATATGCAGCTATCGATATTTCGCATTCAAATTGATAGCTAAAGAGCTGCGATATGTAGCTGTCGACATATCGTAATAAAATCCTTACTTTTAAAGTTTAATTATTATTACCATTATTTATGGCGACCTTGTAGCTAGCTAAAAAGGCTTACAAATATGAAACTAGCAATAAATTGAAACAAAATCGTTATCAATAAAACTGCATTATATAGCTAGCAAGTAGCTATCGATTTGTGGCTACCTTGTAGCTAGCTGCAAAGCTACAATATGTAACTATTGATAAATCGTAATAAAATCGCTATCTAAAAACTGCGATATGTGGCTATTAACTAGCTATCGATTTGTGGCTATCTTGTAACTAGCTACAAAGCTACGATACGTAACTTGCGATAAATCGTAATTAAATCGATAGCTAAGAAGCTGTAATATGTAGTTATTGAATAGCTATAGATATATCGCTATCTAGTTGCCAGCTAAACAAATGCGATATGTAGCTAGTGTCATAACGTAATAAGATCGCTAACTAAAAAACTGCGATATATAGCTAGCGATATATCGTCACAATATCGCAATGTTTAAAGTTCAATTATTTTCATAATTATAATAGATCTAACACTAAAAATCGAATTTTCAATGATATTAAAGACCTTATGGAAAAAAATTAAATAAGAAAAAAAAAAATCGCTCAAAAATCGCTATAAAGCTAGCTAGTCGCTAGCTAATTGCTAGCTCGCTTCCCACCGGGATGTTACTTATTAAACAATATACTTATATAAAAATAATAACAATTTGTTGCATTACCAATTTAAAACAAACTAGAAACTTTTATTACATAAAAGTATAGCTTAAAATGATAACAAAAAAGTAAAATACTATGAATAATACTGCAAGCGAAAAAAGAAATTAAAAGCATTTTAATAAAAGATAAATTCTTTTCGAGAAACCTAATGTTACAAAAATCACCAAATAAAATTTAAAAAAAAAACCATTATACTTACAGTTAAAAAATATATATATATATATATAATAGAATATTAAAAAAAGTTAACTTTATAATAATAATAGCCTTATTTAATGAATATATACGTATTAATTTGCTTAAACAACTGAATTACCAAGTGTTACAACAAGCAATTGTTACAAAGTGTATAACAATAAAAGCTAAGATTTATTAAAATAGAAAAAAAATACTTATTTTCAGAAAATTTACTGAACATGTTAAAAAGATTGTTATTTTAATTTAAATTTTCCATCTTTATAACTTCATTTTGAAAAGTGTTCCTTCCCAGTAAGCACAAGACGCATTTTAGACACTTATAGGCGTCTAAAACTAGTCTAGGTAAAGACGCACTTTTAAAGACTCTTAAAGACATCTTTTAGACGTCTTTTATGAATGCATTTTTAAAATGACCTTTAAAAGGCGTCTTTTTAAAAGATAAAAAGACGTCTAGAAGACGTCAATTTTTAAGACATCTTTTAGACGTTTTTTATAAAGGCGTTTTTAAAATGACGTTTAAAAAGCGTCTATTTAAGCCTTAAAAAAACGTCTAGAAGATATCTTTTTTTAAGACATCTTCTAGACGTCTTTAATAAATGCGATTTTAACATGACGTTTAAAATGCGTCTTGTTAAAGTTTTAAAATACGTTTAAAAGACGCGTAATAAATAGTCTAAAATACGCATTAAAAGACGTCTAGATCAAAGCTAAAAGACGTCTTTTCTGAGACCTGTTAATATATAATAATAATAAATATGTCATATGACTTCTTTTTGACAGCTTTGTCATTACGCGTTAAGTAGATGTCGTATATTAAAAGTAAAAACATAATTTTTATTATTTTTAATAATTTGTTCAAGTTTTAAGTGTAAATTACTTTAAATTAAATTACTTTTTTACACAATTGCTAAAATTGTTGTCACATGAATCACTAAAATAATTGCTATAATATTAATATATCTTTTTT